TCTATCTAGTGATGACTATATAGATAACATGAATGTCTGTAGAATCGAAAAATAAACTGATTCCCCTAGCAAATCAGTTTAAGCTGTGAAATGCCTTACAAATTGATTAATTAATTTAATTACGAAAAAAACTATTTAAATATGCCATATATAAAAATGTATTTTATTTGCACAAATCAGAAGGAAATATCGCATTAGTCCATTTAATGGAATAGCAAAAAACCTGGTAATATTTTAACATGAAGTACATTTGCTCTAAACTGATAAATTTATATATTTTATATAAGTTAATGTTACTATATTTTCTAACCAATGCAGTAAGTTTTAAAAGAAAAACAAATGTTAAATAAATTTTGTTATGCAACACAATATAATTGCAGTCAATTCCTCAAAGCGCAGCAATTATACGTGGTACTCGAGCTGCACTAGGTGAATATCCCTGGCAAGTTGTTATAAAAAAAAATCCATCAGATCTTTTATTGTGTGGCGGTTCTATTATAAACAATAAATGGATTTTAACAGCTGCTCACTGCATTGAATGCCGTGACCCCATTTATATGCTGTTTGGAACCATAAGGCTGTTGAGCGCTGCCATTAATAGGACTTCTAAAAATTGTATCCACATCCTTATTTCAATCCCGTAACTTTAGCATTTGATATAGGACTAATTGAGCTAAATTTACCATTAGAGTATAATGTTTACATTAAACCCATTCCATTGATAACTAAGGCGGAAGCTGATCAAACTAATTTCATTGGCGTTGTCACATATGTTAGTGGTTTCGGTTATTACACGGATGAAATGCATGAAATTTCGCCATGGTTGTTATGGGGTGCTGAAGAAATTATCGATAATAGTATTTGTGATAGGATCTTTGGACCAGTGCTAGATTCAGAAATATGTTCGACTGGGTTTACACCCGAGAAACAGCATCCCTGCAAAGGTGACTCTGGTGGTGCATTAGTCTGGAGAAATGAAATGCGTCAGCAAAAACAAATAGGTATTGTTACTGCTGTTAAAGTTAAATGTTCAGATCATCCTTCAGGTTATACTAGAGTTTCTTCGTTTTTACATTTTATTTCTAATATAACGGGTTTAAATTTTGATTAAATTGAAATGTGTACAGTATTATAAAATAAAATTAAAGCAAATTATTATTCGTTTTGCCATTCAGAAAATTAAACAGTATAAAAAGGTTGTAATTTATTGAAGATCCTCTGGCAAAACTCACACTGGGCATCGGAGTTATCACATTAATAACGACATTATGATACTTTTAAGGATTTAGGAATTCTTTTTGTTTTATTATTACAAATTTAAACCAGTTATATTGTGAATATAATCTAAATACGAAGAAACTCTAGTATAACCCGAAGGAAATCGTGAACAATTATTTTTCTTCGAAAAAGAATATATACCAATTTGTACAAAGTTATTAGCTTCATTCTTCCAAACTAAAGCACCACCAGAGTCGCCATCACAGGGTGACTGATAAGTACCATTTGGGCCTTGTGCGCATATAATTGAATCCTCTATTTCTTCATTGTAAACATGAGCACATATTGAATTATCAATAACATCCACCGAAGTCCATAATAACCATTCGTTATTCATATTCGCCATATCTGATATCCAGCCAAAACCACTTATAATAGCTTTAGCACCTATAAAATGATTTTTTAATGCTTCCTCCTCTGCTGTTACCAATGTAATAGCTTGTATATTGTTGCTAAAGGTCACTGGTGTGGGTAGCTCAACGAGGCCCATATCATTTATAAGGTTTTCTTCATCGTAATGCGGATATATATACAATTTCGTGGAGGTCATATTAACATCACTATTGCTTAGTTGAATGCTACCAAATACTACTAAAACTGAATCCTCTTCTTCCAGACAATGAGCACAGGTTAAAACCCATTTATCGGATATAAGTGAGGCGCCACACAACAACTGATCTCCGGCATCTCTTCTTAAAATAACGTGCCAGGGAAATTGTCCTTCTGCCGCCTGCCAACCAGATACAATGGCTTCATTTTGGGATGACGGCTGTAAATTTTATAATTCCAATTTAATGGGTTTTCTAGGGTCTTTCTCGCAAAATTTACCTCTGCTTGGATTTGAACATTCAGAGTGCATACGATCCATAAAATGCTTAATTTAGCAAGAAAAGTTTTCATATTAGAGAACCGCTTTTGTATTAATATTTCGCTAAATAATGGGTCCATTTTTCCCAGTTTTCTTCTGTTTTATTTTAAAGTGTTACTTTTTATTATATTGAATTTTAAAACAAAAATAATTTGCAATAATTTCTTTCATTAAGCAATTCGTTAAGGAACTCAAGACGATTATTTTCGCATAAATAGTACTGATTATTTTAACTATGACCGTAACCTTGAACAACACCCCCTAACGGCTTTAAAAAACAGAAATGCTTTAAAATCTGAAAAGAATTGTTACAATGTTGACAACGTTGCGACATAGTGTTGTCGTACGTATGTATATATTTGACAAAGGATTTTATTGAAAAATTATAAACTCATTGGTGTCTACTTGATACCAGGTGTGTATATTTCTTTTTCCCTCTGTGTATCAAGGCCTTTTATAGATTACCATTTTAATAGACTGTTTCAATTAGTTTAGGTATACACATCCAGCGCTAGTTTAAAATTATAAATAAATAAATTAAATGACTTTTGCTGCCCTTTCCATATGATTATATACAAAGTTTTTATTTCAGCTTTAAATCTTTAAAAGTTATTCTAATATCAATTAAAATTTAAACCCGTTATATTATGTATATAATCATAATACGAAGAAACTCTAGTATAACCCGAAGGAAATTTCGAACATTCGTTTACCATCGAAAAAGAACTTATACCGATTTGTACAAACTTATTCGCTGCATTCTTCCAAACTAACGGACCTCCCGAATCACCATCGCATGCAGATTCCTTCGAATTATTAGAAGCTTTTGTACAAATAACTGAATCCTCTATTTGTTCTTCGTAAGCTTCTTCACAAATTGTCTTATTGACAACTGCTACAGAAGCATATAGCAACCAAAGGGAATATTTACGTATATTATCTGTAGTCTGTCCATAACCGGCAATAATCGCTTCAGCGCCCAGTAATTGATTTTTTGCAGCATCTGCGGGTGATATCAATTCAATAGCTTTTATGTTATCGTTAAAGGTCACTGGTGTATGTAACTCAATTAGACCAATGTCATTAAATAGATATTCGTCATCATATGCTGGATGTATAAAAAATTTCTTAGAAGTCATAAAAACCTCCATATTGGTCCGTTTTATAGTACCAAATACCAATACAACGGAAACCTCATCGTCAATACAATGAGCACAGGTTAACACCCATTTATTGGATATAAGAGAGGCACCACACAATAGTTTATCTTTTTTATTTCTCTTTAAAAGCACATACCAGGGAAATTGACCGAGTTCGGCCTTCGTACCAGATATAATGGCTGCACTTTGGGAATTAGACTAAAACATAAAACATTGTTATAAATAGCCCACCTAGACCATTTAAAAACTTACCGTTGCCGAAATATAAACCTGTAGTAGATTTAGCCTAAATAGAAACCATAATGTGGCCAGTTTATAGCAAAAAGTTATCATCTTATAGAAATATCAGCTAGACTTGTTTGGGATAATTTGAAATATTTTTTCTTATTATCTTGCTTATTTAAACAAATTTTTTCTTTAACTTCAATTCGTTATGCCTTTTTAGTTTGATTCAAATCGTTAACAATTTCAATTATAAGAAAACTACTATATTATTATAGTAAAGTTTCTATAAAGTACAAACCAAACTTGTTTAGTCAACAGTTACCAATTTAACGCTGTCTGCCTCTCTATACTTTCAAATCACTTTCCGAAGCTGTCAACTAATTGAATGAAATTCTTCCTCAAAGCGTGTTCCGCCAACAAGTCAAAATTGAGCAAAAATTTATTCAATAATTTTATTTTGAGACTTAAATTAAATTTTCGAAAATTGTCTAATATGTGGTTTCAGCAAAGTATTGCTAATAATAGAACCGACACAAAAATGTTTCTTTTTAAATAACATGCCAGGGATATTCACCTAGTGCGGCCCTAGTAACAGGTATAATAGGTACGTGACAATTCATTAGAACTAAATTTGCTAAATTTTTTATACTTTCAGAACTTACTGCCGAAGAGGTTTGAACATGTAGTAACTTAAGCTTAAAGAAGATTCATAAAATGATCAGTTTAGAGATAAATAACTGCTTGTTAAACTATTACTAGTTTTTTGTTATTTTATTAAAACAATACGATATTTCCTTATATTATTTTTTTCATTTGAAAGATATATATATAGATAGATAGATAGATAGATAGATAGATAGATAGATAGATAGATAGAAAGATAGATAGATAGATAGATAGATAGATAGATAGATAGATAGATAGATAGATAGATAGATAGATAGATAGATAGATAGATAGATAGATAGATAGATAGATAGATAGATAGATAGATAGATGCGATATTTCCTTTTTTTATTTGAAAGATATATAGATTGTAGATAGATAGATAGTAGATAATAGATAGATAGATAGATAGATAGATAGATAGATAGATAGATAGATAGATAGATAGATAGATAGATAGATAGATAGATAGATAGATAGATAGATAGATAGATAGATAGATAGATAGATAGATAGATAGATAGATAGATAGATAGATAGATAGATAGATAGATAGATAGATAGATACATAGATAGATAGATAGATAGATAGATAGATAGATAGATAGATAGATAGATAGATAGATAGATAGATAGATAGAGATAGATAGATAGATAGATAGATAGATAGATAGATAGATAGAAAGATAGACTTTACCTATTTGACAACAACTATCAGGTACATTCAAATTTTATTTTTGTAATCTGAATTTGCAGATTATTTAATAATCTTTTTTGATATAATCTAAATAGGAAGAAACTCTAGTATAACCCGAAGGAAACTTTGAACAAGCGTCTTCCTTTGAAAATGAATATACCCCCAATTTGTACAAACTTTTTCGCTTCATTCTTCCAAACTAAAGCACCACCTGAATCACCATCACAGGGAGGACTGCTTGGTATCTTTATAACCTTTTGCGCAGATAACTGTATCCTCTACCGGTTCATCATAAATCACTTCACAAATTGTATTATTAACAATTTCCACCGAAGTCCATAATAACCATTCAGAACTTTTATCCACATTATCAGTGGTTCGACCAAAACCACAAATGGTAGCTTCAGCACCCAAAAATTGTGTTTCGCAGCTTCTGCTGCTGTTACCAAGTCAATGGCTTGTATGTTGGGAGTAAAGTTTAAGGGGTTAGGTAAAGCAATAAGTCCAATGTCATCGAAAACATTGTTGTCATCATATGCTGGATATATAACAAATTTGTTAGAGGTCATACTAATTTCACTATTTTTCTGCTCTATGGTTCCAAATGCCATAAATATAGAACGTTGGCCATAAAGACAATGGGCTGCAGTTAAAACCCATTTGTTGGTAATAATAGAACCACCACACCACACATCGTCATTTTTATCTTTTTTCAATAAAACGTGCCAGGGAAATTGTCCTAAGGCAGCTTGTGTGCCCGATACAATGGGTTCATTCTGTTTATGAGACTGTAGAAGACATAATATTTTTTACAAAATTTCTTAATATATCTTAAATTAGTACCTTAGCTGCGGTTAGAATAGGAAGTAGATTTAGCCAATATATAATTCATAACATGGCCAGTTTAGCGTAAAAGGTTTTCATATTGAATAACTTTAGTCTCTTATTAAGGTTTCATTAAATATAGTTTCTTCCTTAATATTTAAACAAATTTTTACCATAACTTCAGATATTAATCAATTCGTTCTGCATTTTTTACTGCTTTGATTTGCATAGCAACTGCCTCAAATTGCAAAGTGCGTCTTAGGAGACCAGAATATAGTCTGGATTATAGAGTAGACAATATTCTGGACTATAGATTGGAGAATATTCTGGACTATAGACTAGACTTTAGTCTGGACTATAAACTAGACTATAGTCTAGACTATAGACGAGAGTTTAGTCTGGACAATAAACTAGACTATAATCTGGACTATAGACTAGACTATAGTCTGGACTATAGACTAGACTATAGTCTGGACTATAGACTAGACTATAGTCTGGTCTATAGACTAGACTATAGTCTGGTCTATAGACTAGACTATAGTCTGGTCTATAGACTAGACTATAGTCTGGTCTATAGACTAGACTATAGTCTGGTCTATAGACTAGACTATAGTCTGGTCTATAGATTATGTATACTATAGTCTATAGTAGAATACACATCCATCATACAATCCAGCAACTTATGAAAATGATGTGGGACTTATTGAGCTACCTACAGCATTGACCTTTAATACAACGGACACGCAGCATCCGTGCAAAGGTGACTCTGGTGTTGCTTTAGTGTGGAAAAATCAAATGGATACGCTTAAACAAATTTCCATTTATTTTCTTTTGGAAAATTAATAGGTTGTTCTGAATACCCACCCTTCGGATTAGAATAGAGTTTCTTCGTTTTTTAGATTATATGCATAATATAACGGTTGAAATTTTGATTCAGTAGAAAATTTTTAAATTAAATGAATTTGATGTGTTTCAGAACATATTAGTAATATTTGAAAAATTAAATAATTTTCGGATTTTATTTTATTTATGTAAGACCCTCTGATTCCCATTATAATGACATTAATATCAACATTGTTATAGAATTTGATGAATAAGTTACATTGTCACTATAAGGATCGAGAAATTCTTATGAGACCTGGGTCCCACTTAAAAATATTCAAACAAAATTCTATATAAATCTACTTATCTATAAGATTTAGTACATTGAATTTTATAAAATACAATGGACCAACATGTATTACGCCATCTTCAACTTTATATTTATTAATCAAAATTTAAACCCGTTATATTACTAATATAATCTAAATACGAAGAAACTCTCATATAAGCTGAAGGGAATTTTGAACATTCAAAAAACCTCCATAAGAATATATGCCAATTTGTTTAAGCGTACGCATACTATTTCTCCAAACTAAAGCTCCACCAGAATCGCCATTACATGGATGCTGTCTGTCAGCCGTATAACCAATCGTACACATCTGTGAATCTTTTGGTTGTCCATATCTGGCTGCACAAACACTATTATTGACGACTTCCTCAGCACCCCATAATAGCCATGGTGAATATCGTCGAGTTTTATCGTTGTAAAAACCATAACCACTCATAAATGATATAGCGCCAATAAAATCGTTGATTGCAGCTTCTTCTGTATTTACCAAAGGAATGGGTTGAATAAAAGTATTAAAGGTCAATGGTGTAGGTAACTCAATAAGTCCTACATCATCACTTTGAGGTGGATAATATGGATTATATGTTGGATGTATAATCAATCTCATAGAAGTCATACCAGGGGCATTGGAGAAGATCTCTACAGTTCCAAATTGCAAAAAAACAGATTCCAGGTCTACAATGCAATGAGCAACTGTTAAAACCCATGTACTGCTTATAACAGAACCGCCACACAACAATAAATCTTCTCGAAATCTTTTTAAAATCACATGCCATGGATATTCACCTGGTGTTGCTCGAACACCAGCAATAATAGTTACGATCTCGGAATCTGACTTCAAAACTATTAATTAGAACAATTTTCCATTTAATTTCTTATCCCCAAAAAACTTACAGCTGCCATGTCTTTAATATAAAATAAGATCCATAAAATTATCAGTTTCGGAAAATACGGCTTCATGTTAAACTATTAATAATGAAATATTTCCTTTTGTTTTGTTTTAAACAAATTTCGTTTACTATATCAATATTTAAATAGTTAGTTTTCTTTAATAATTTAACAACTTATCAATCAATTTGTTAGGCATTTTTTTCGGCATAAAACTGATTTGCTAGGCGAATAATATTATTTTAAGGTTCCCCAGTCGGTAATTTTTTAAAGTATGGAGTATATTCATTATCATTAGACAGTTCAGTTTTACTTCAGTTTCTAGTTCAGTTCTAGTTATGCTCTAGTTCTGTTCTGTTCTAGTTCTGTTCTAGTTCAGTTCTAGTTCAGTTCTAGTTCAGTTCTAGTTCAGTTCTAGTTCAGTTCTAGTTCAGTTCTAGTTCAGTTCTAGTTCAGTTCTAGTTCAGTTCTAGTTCAGTTCTAGTTCAGTTCTAGTTCAGTTCTAGTTCTGTTCTATTTCTGTTCTATTTCTGTTCTAGTTCAGTTCTAGTTCAGTTCTAGTTATGTTCTAGTTCAGTTCTAGTTCTGTTCTAGTTTAGTTCTAGTTCAGTTCTAGTTCAGTTCTAGTTCAGTTCTAGTTCAGTTCTAGTTCAGTTCTAGTTCAGTTCTAGTTCAGTTCTAGTTCAGTTCTAGTTCAGTTCTAGTTCAGTTCTAGTTCAGTTCTAGTTCAGTTCTAGTTCAGTTCTAGTTCAGTTCTAGTTCTGTTCTAGTTCTGTTCTAGTTCTGTTCTAGTTCTGTTCTAGTTCTGTTCTGTTCTAGTTCTGTTCTGTTCTAGTTCTGTTCTGTTCTGTTCTAGTTCTGTTCTAGTTCTGTTCTAGTTCTGTTCTAGTTCTGTTCTAGTTCTGTTCTAGTTCTGTTCTAGTTCTGTTCTAGTTCTGTTCTAGTTCTGTTCTAGTTCTGTTCTGTTCTAGTTCTGTTCTAGTTCTATTCTAGTTCTGTTCTTGTTGTTGTAGTTCTGTTTTAGTTCTGTTCAAGTGTTGTTCTGGTTCTATTCTACTTTTTTTCTGTTATAGTTCCGTTCTGTTCTAGTTCTGTTCTAGTTCTGTTCTGTTCTGTTCTAGTTCTGTTCTAGTTCTGTTCTAGTTCTGTTCTAGTTCTGTTCTAGTTCTGTTCTAGTTCTGTTCTAGTTCTGTTCTTGTTCTGTTCTAGTTCTGTTCTAGTTCTGTTCTAGTTCTGTTCTAGTTCTGTTCTTGTTCTGTTCTAGTTCTGTTCTAGTTCTGTTCTAGTTCTAGTTCTGCTCTAGTTCTATTCTAGTTCTGTTCTGGTTGTTGTAGTTCAGTTCTAGTTCAGTTCTAGTTCAGTTCTAGTTCAGTTCTAGTTCAGTTCTAGTTCAGTTCTAGTTCAGTTCTAGTTCAGTTCTAGTTCAGTTCTAGTTCAGTTCTAGTTCTGTTCTATTTCTGTTCTAGTTCAGTTCTAGTTCAGTTCTAGTTATGTTCTAGTTCAGTTCTAGTTCTGTTCTAGTTTAGTTCTAGTTCAGTTCTAGTTCAGTTCTAGTTCAGTTCTAGTTCAGTTCTAGTTTCTAGTTCAGTTCTAGTTCAGTTCTAGTTCTAGTTCAGTTCTAGTTCAGTTCTAGTTCAGTTCTAGTTCTGTTCTAGTTCTGTTCTAGTTCTGTTCTAGTTCTGTTCTAGTTCTGTTCTAGTTCTGTTCTAGTTCTGTTCTGTTCTAGTTCTGTTCTGTTCTAGTTCTGTTCTAGTTCTGTTCTAGTTCTGTTCTAGTTCTGTTCTAGTTCTGTTCTAGTTCTGTTCTGTTCTAGTTCTAGTTCTGCTCTAGTTCTATTCTAGTTCCGTTCTGGTTGTTGCAGTTCTGTTCTAGTTCTGTTCTAGTTCTGTTCTGGTTCTATTCCAGTTCTTTTCTAGTTCTGTTCTAGCTCTGTTCTAGTTCTGTTCTAGTTCAAGATAAGTTCAGTTCTAGTTGAGTTCTTACCCTATGTTTAGGAAAATCTTAAATTGTTTTATGTTTTTATTTCCAAATAGTACACGATAGTATCTAAAACACATCGACTTCTCATAACTTATTCAGGTGTTACACCCGTTACATTACGAATATAATCTAAAAACGAGGCAACTCTAACATAACCCGCTGGATAATCTAAACAATTTCTTAATCTTCCAAAAGAAAACACAGCTATTTGTTTAAGCTTACGCGAAGGATTTCTCCAAACTAAAGGACCACCAGAGTCACCTTTACATGGATTTTGCTTATCAATTGTGTAACCAACCGTACACATCTGTGAATCTTCCATTGGTCCAAGTGTTTCCGCACAAACACTATTATATACAACTTTCTCGGAACCCCATAACAACCATGGGGACAATTTACGAACTTTATCGTCGTAATAGCCATAACCACTAAGAAATGTAACAACGCCTGTAAAATTAGTGTTTGCAGCTTCTGACGATGTCACTAAGGCAATGGGTTGAATAAATGTATTATAGGTTAATGGTGTGGGTAACTCAACAAGTCCTACATCATTTACGTAAGATCTTGGATTAAATTGAGGGTGTATAATCAATCTAGTAGAAGTCATACCAAGTGCATTGCTATCGAACTCTACGGTTCCAAATTGCATAAAAACGGTTTGCTTGTTTTTAAGACAATGAGCAGCTGTTAAAACCCATGTATTGCTAATAACAGAACCTCCGCCTAATAATGAACCTCCTGATTCTTTTTTTATAAGAACATGCCAGGGATATTCACCTGGAGAGGCTCGAACACCAGATAAAATAGGTTCGCTCTGCTTAGTTGCCTGCAAAATGATATATATATGTATAAACTAAATTTGTTCAAGTATTTCGATTTTTCTTTAAAAACTTACAGCTGCGGTGGTTTTAACATAAAATAATAAGATCAATAAAATGTTTAGTTTAGCTAAAAACGACTTCATGTTAGTTAATAATAGAATATTTTTATTTCTGTTTTATTTTAAACAATTTTTAATTATTATATTCAATATTAAAATTATTTTTAATAATTTAATTTATCAATCAATTTGTTAGGCATTTTTTGGCATAAAACTGATTCGCTAGGCGAATAACATTATTATTTGGTTATACTCACTTAAGCCCCCTTCACACGAGCACACAAGTAATATGATCTGTCAAAATTTTGTGTAGAAGAGAACGGATGGGATCGTCTAAACGCAATATGTAATGAAACCATCACACATTGAGAGAAAATACGGATGGAAAATTTGACAGTCGTATGGCTCTCTTCATTTTTTGAAATGATTCAAAAAACAAGCAAGTCGCATTAGATCAGGGATGTATTTTTATGTAAACACATACAAAAAAAGTGAAACAGCTGTTCCATCTTACTTTGTTATTGTTTTATATCAATCGTGTAAACACAAAAAATATAAATCATACGACTTTTATTATCTTTTTTGTCATACGGATGGAATTTCATTTTACTTTTTCATTAGACTTGTCGAACGTAAAGTGTGACCGTGTGAAGGGCCCTTTATATATATAGAAACAAAAATGGCAATGTCCATTTTTTCTTATGAAATTTGTAAGCATCTCTAATTCGTCAGTCAGTCTAGTCTAATCTATTGTCTAGTTTATTTACTTTTATTTATTTATTTCGAGTCGAGTTTTAAGTCTAGTCAATAGTCTTGTCTATATACTTAGTCTTGAATATACTCTAGTCTATAGTATAGTCTAGTCTAGTCTATTGTCTACTCTATAGTATATTCTATATTCAAGTTTATATTATAGTATATATTCTAGTCTATAGTCCAGTCTATAGTTTAGTTTATAGTATAGTCCATAGTCTAGTCTATAGTCTAGTATATAATCTAGTCCATTGTCTACTCTATAGTCTAGTCTATAGTATATTCTGTAGTCTATTCTATAGTCTAGTCTATAGTCTAGTTTATAGTTTAGTATATAGTCTAGTCTACAGTCAATTCTATATTCTATTTTATAGTTTAATCTATATTCTGTTCTATAGTCTAGCCAAGTCTAGTATATACTCTAGTCTAGTCTATAGTCTAGTGTTTTTATCCATTGACCCAGCTAACCAAATATTGACCTCAGGACAAAAATTTTGAGAATTGGTATCTTAGATTGAACCCGGTTTTCACTTTCGATGGGAACATCAGTACATTATTTTTTTTTCTCCATACAAATGGCGCTAATGTGCATATATCGCTATTTTATACTTTAAATTTATTCGTTACTCAAAATTTAAACCCGTTACATTATTAATAAAATCCAAATAACTAGAAACTCTCATATAAGCCGAAGGTCTGCCCGCACAATCTTCAGCTCTTCCATAGGAAAATACGCCAATTTGTTTATGCGTACGGTTTGGATTTCTCCAAACTAAAGCACCACCTGAGTCACCTTTACATGGATGTTGCCTGTCAATTGTATAACCAACCGTACACATATGTGAAGGTGGCAACGGTCCATATATTATACCACACACAGGATTACGAACTACTTCTTCGGCACCCCATAATAACCATTTTGACGATTTACTTACTTTATTGATGTAATAACCAAAACCGCTTATAAATGATATGACGCCAATAAAATCAGTGCTTGCAGCTTCCGCTGAAGTTACCAACGGAATGGGTTGAATAAAGGCATTATAGGTCAATGGTGTAGGTAACTCAATAAGTCCTATATCATTTCCATTAATATGTGGTCGGTGATTTGGATGTGGAAACAAACGCGAAGAATTCATACCAAGGGCATTTGAGAACAGCTCGACAGTTCCAAATTGCATATACATGTATTCCTTGTTTGTAAGGCAATGAGCAGCTGTTAAAACCCATGTATTGCTTATAACAGAACCTCCACACAATACTGAACTTTGTGGAGTAATTTTTAAAAGCACATGCCATGGATATTCCCCTGGTATAGCTCGAACACCAGCAATAATAGCTGCACTCTGCTCATTTGTCTGCAAAATAATTTATTAAAACTAAATTGGTTTAAGTATTTCGTTTCTTTTTTTAACTTACAGCTGCAGTGGTTTTAACATTAAGTAATAAGATCCATAAAAGGTTTAGTTTAGATATAAACGCCTTCATGTTAAACTATTAATAATAGAATATTTCTTTCTGCTTGGTTTTAAGTAATTTCCACTTATTATACTCAATATTTATATAGCATTTTAATAATTTAATTTACCAATCAATTTGTTAGGCATTTTTTCGGCATAAAATTGATTGGCTAGGCGAATAACATTATTATTAGGATATACAGACTATCATATATAGAAACAAAGATGGTAATGTCCATTTTATTTTCGTAGCAAATTTGCCTGCAAACTTTAAAGTGCAATATCGTCAGTCAACTTTTTCCACAGTTTTTAGACTCAAGCAGCCTATGTAACAGATATAACAAGTGAACTTTCTAAAGTATACATTGTCTAGTCTATAGTCTAGTCTATAGTAGTCTATAGTCTAGTCTAGTCTAGTCTATAGTCTAGTCTATAGTCTAGTCTATAGTCTAGTCTATAGTCTAGTCTATAGTCTAGTCTATAGTCTAGTCTATAGTCTAGTCTATAGTCTAGTCTATAGTCTAGTCTAGTATAGTCTAAGTCTGTCTATAGTCTAGTCTATAGTGTAGTCTATAGTCTAGTTTATAGTCTAGTCTATAGTCTAGTCTGTAGTCTAGTCTATAGTCTAGTCTATAGTCTAGTTCTTAGTCTAGTCTATAGTTTAGTCTATAGTCTAGTCTATAGTCTAGTCTATAGTCTAGTCTATAGTCTAGTCTATAGTCTAGTCTATAGTCTAGTCTAGTCTATAGTCTAGTCTAGTCTATAGTCTAGTCTAGTCTATAGTCTAGTCTAGTCTATAGTTCTAGTCTAGTCTATAGTCCAGTCTATAGTCTAGTCTATAGTCTAGTCTATAGTCTAGTCTATAGTCTAGTTTATAGTCTAGTCTATAGTCTAGTCTATAGTCTAGTCTATAGTCTAGTCTATAGTCTAGTCTATAGTCTAGTCTATAGTCTATTCTAGTCTATAGTCTAGTCTATAGTCTAGTCTATAGTGTCTAGTCTCGTAGTCTAGTCTATAGTCTAGTCTATAGTCTAGTCTGTAGTCTAGTCTATAGTCTAGTCTATAGTCTAGTCTATAGTCTAGTCTATAGTTTAGTCTATAGTCTAGTCTATAGTCTAGTCTATAGTCTAGTCTATAGTCTAGTCTATAGTCTAGTCTAGTCTATAGTCTAGTCTAGTCTATAGTCTAGTCTAGTCTATAGTCCTAGTCTATAGTCTAGTCTATAGTCTAGTCTATCGTCCTAGTCTATAGTCTAGTCTATAGTCTAGTCTATAGTCTAGTCTATAGTCTAGTCTATAGTTCTAGTCTATAGTCTAGTCTGTAGTCTAGTCTATAGTCTATCTGTCTATAGTCTAGTCTATAGTCTAGTCTATAGTCTAGTCTATAGTCTAGTCTATAGTCTAGTCTATAGTCTAGTCTATAGTCTAGTCTATAGTCTAGTCTATAGTCTAGTCTATAGTCTAGTCTATAGTCTAGTCTAGTCTATAGTCTAGTCTATAGTCTAGTCTATAGTCTAGTCTATAGTCTAGTCTATAGTCTAGTCATAGTCTAGTCTAGTAGTATAGTCTAGTCTGTAGTCTAGTCTATAGTCTAGTCTATAGTCTAGTCTATAGTCTAGTCTATAGTCTAGTCTATAGTCTAGTCTATAGTCTAGTCTATAGTCTAGTCTATAGTCTAGTCTATAGTCTAGTCTATAGTCTAGTCTATAGTCTTGTCTAAAGTCTAGTCTAGAGTATAGTCTAGTCTGTAGTCTAGTCTATAGTCTAGTCTATAGTCTAGTCTATAGTCTAGTCTATAGTCTAGTCTATAGTCTAGTCTATAGTCTGTCTAAAGTCTAGTCTATAGTCTAGAGTATAGTCTAGTCTGTAGTCTAGTCTATAGTCTAGTCTAGTCTAGTCTATAGTCTAGTCTATAGTCTAGTCTATAGTATAGTCTATAGTCTAGTCTATAGTCTAATCTATAGTCTAGTCTATAGTCTAGTCTATAGTCTAGTCTATAGTCTAGTCTATAGTCTAGTCTATAGTCTAGTCTATAGTCTAGTCTATAGTCTAGTCTATAGTCTAGTCTATAGTCTAGTCTATAGTCTAGTCTATAGTCTAGTCTATAGTCTATACTCTAGTCTAGTCTATAGTCTAGTCTATAGTCTAGTCTATAGTCTAGTCTATAGTCTAGTCTATAGTCTAGTCTATAGTCTAGTCTATAGTCTAGTCTATAGTCTAGTCTATAGTCTAGTCTATAGTCTAGTCTATAGTCTAGTCTAAAGTCTAGTCTATAGTCTAGTCTATAGTTTAGTCTAGACTATAGACCGAGAGTTGTTTGTTTTGTGTTTGTTCTGCTAGTTTGTTGTGTACAAGTATTGTACCAGAATATAACTATTTTTAAGAAGAAGGGTGTTCAAACAAATTTTTTTTTTTTTTTTAATTTTAAAAATTACGTATATTATTTATTTTTTGTATAAAATTTAACAAATTTCTTTATTTTTCTTTGCAGGTATGTTGGAAATTAACTTTTGCTTTAAAACAAAAGCCCTTAAAAAATAATTAAAACGAAACAGAGTAAGAAATTTTTTAAAATTAAGTAAAACTTAAAAATAACGAAACTAGAGCATTCTGTATCCAAAAGCATTCTGTATACTAAAAATTGAATTATTTTTTTTTCTTTCATTTAACTTGTAATAGAAGGAATTTAACAAATAGGAATGATCATTCAATTGAATTCATTCCTATAAAGAATGAATTCTCTTAGGAATTAATTCAATGGTATATAAAGCCAATTCAGCTTTAGAATGGTACATTCAAAGAATGATTTTAAAAAATGATACATTAAAAAATTTAAAACCGAATTAAAAATATATGGAAATTAATTCCAAATAGAATTCATTCTTTCCGAGCTTTGGTATATAGTATTGTCTATATTTAGTCTAGTCTATAGTTGAGTTTATGGTCTAATACATAGTCTAGTCTAAAGTCTTGCAAATATTCCAGTCAATAGTCTATAGTATAGTCAGTTGTCTAGTGTATAGTGTGGTCTATAGTCTAGTCTACAGTCCAGTCTATAGGTTAGCCTTTAGTCTAATCTATAGTCTAGTCAATCGTTTAGTCTTTAGTTTAGGCTAGTCTAGAGTCTAATCTATAGTCTTGTCTGTAATGTAGTCAATAGTCTAATCTATATTCTACTCTACAGGTTAGTATATAGTCTAGTTAATAATCTAGAATATAGCCAAGTCTATAGTATTGTCTAGTCTATAGTCTAGTCTATTAGCTGCTCTATAGTCTAGTCTATAGTCTAGTGTATTGCCTAGTCTATAGTATCGTCTATAGTCTTCTCAAGTTTATAGTCTAGTCAATAGTCTGATCTATAGCCTAGTCTATAGTCTAGTATCTATAGTCTAGCTTATAGTCTAGTCTATAGTATAGTCTAGTCCATAGTATAGTCTTGTCTATAATGTGGTCTATATTCTAGTCTATAGCCTAGATAATTCTATAGTATTCTCCAGTTTACAGTCTAGTCTATTGCCTAGTCTATAGTATATTCTATAATATCGTCTATAGTCATGTCTTGTTTATACTCTAGTCTATAGTCTAGTCTAGTCCATATTCTAGTCTATAGTCTAGTCTATAGTCTAGTCTATAGTCTAGTCTATAGTCTAGTTTATAGTCTAGTCTATAGTCTAGTCTATAGTCTAGTCTATAGTCTAGTCTATAGTCTAGTCTATAGTCTAGTCTATAGTCTAGTCTATAGTCTAGTCTATAGTCTAGTCTATAGTCTAGTCTATAGTCTAGTCTATAGTTTAGTCTATAGTCTAGTCTATAGTCTAGTCTAGTCTATAGTCTAGTCTATAGTCTAGTCTATAGTCTAGTCTATAGTCTAGTCTATAGTCTAGTCTATAGTTTAGTCTATAGTCTAGTCTAGTCTAGTCTAGTCTATAGTCTAGTCTATAGTCTAGTCTATAGTCTAGTCTATAGTCTAGTCTATAGTCTAGTCTATAGTCTAGTATATAGTATATTCTATAGTCTAGTCTATAGTCTAGCCTATAGTCTAGTCTATAGTCTAGTCTATAGTCTAGTCTATAGTCTAGTCTATAGTCTAGTCTATAGTCTAGTTTATAGTCTAGTCTATAGTCTAGTTTATAGTCTAGTCTATAGTCTAGCCTATAGTCTACTCTATAGTCAAGTCTATAGTCTATTCTATAGTCTAGTCTATAGTCTAGTCTATAGTCTAGTCTATAGTCTAGTCTATAGTCCGGTCTATAGTCCGGTCTATAGTCTAGTCTAGAGTTTGGTCTATAGTGTAGTCTATACTCTAGTCTACAATCTTTAGACGAACTATAGTCTGGTAAATAGACCAGTCTGTAGAGCCTAGTGTACATTGAAGTATATTGTCTAGACTATAGTCTATTCTATTGTATAGTATTTAGTCCAGTTTGTAGTCTAGTCAATATTCTAGTCGATAGTATAGTCTATGGTATAGTCTATAGCCTAGTCTATTGTCTAGTATGTAGTCTGGCCAATAATCTTGTTTATTGTCTAATCTGTAGTATAGTATATAGTCTAGTTTTCGATGGTAACATCAGAACCTTATTTTTCTCTATACAAACGGGACTATCCTAATGTACATATAGCGCCATTTTGTACATTAAATTTATTCATTATTCAAAATTTAAACCCGTTATATTATTAATATAATCCAAATACGAAGAAACTCTCATATAACCCGAAGGTAAGCCCGCACAATCTGCTATTGATCCATAAGAAAATACAGCAATTTGCTTATGCGTACGGTTTGGATTTCTCCAAACTAAAGCACCACCTGAGTCACCTTTACATGGATGTTGCCTGTCAGGTGTATAACCAATCGTACATAGATGTGATGCTGGCGTTGGTCCATATACCGTACGACAGACAGTATTACTAACTACTTCTTCAGCACCCCATAATAACCATTCTGACACTCTACTTACTTTATTGATATAATAACCAAAACCGCTTATAAATGCTATGACGCCAATAAAATCATTGCTTTCAGCTTCCATTGAAGTTACTAATGGAATAGGTTGAATAAAGGCATTATAGGTCAATGGTGTAGGTAGCTCAATAAGTCCTACATCATCTCCATTAGTATTTTTATTGTATAATGGATGTGTAAACAATCGCGTAGAATTCATACCAGGGGCATTAGAGAACAGCTCTACAGTTCCAAATTGCATATAAACGGATGTCCTGTTTATAATACAATGAGCAGCTGTTAAAACCCATGTATTGCTTATAACAGAACCCCCACACAATAATGAACTTTGTGGACGTCTTTTTAAAAGCACATGCCAGGGATATTCCCCTGGTATGGCTCGAACACCAGCAATAATAGATGCGCTCTGGTTATTTGCCTGCAAAACAATTTATTAAATCTATACATTTGTTTAAGTATTTCGTTTTTTTTTTTTTTTTTTTTTTTTCTTTAAAAACTTACAGCTGCAGTGGTTTTAACATTAAGTAATAAGATCAATAAAATACTCAGTCTAGATAAAAACAATTTCATGTTAAAGATTTAATAATAGAATATTTCCTTCTGTTTGGTTTTAAGCAATATCCATTTATTACATTTCATATTTAAATAGTTTTTTAAATAATTTAATTTATCAATCAATTCGTTAGGCATTTTTTCGGCATAAAACTGATTTGCCAGGCAATAATAACAATAATATTAGGTTATACAGACTTTCATATATAAAAACAAAGAAGGCAAACTCCATGTTTTGAGATCAAATTTGCCTGCAAACTTCTCTCATTCCGTTATAAATATATATAATATATGTATATATAACAATTAAAAATAATGCTTTTTTTCTCAATTAACTCTAAAAATACAAAAAAAATGGAGATTGTTGACTTTGGTTCTACATCATGAACTTCGATTTTATGGAATAAAAACTTAAAAATTTAATTTTAATAGTCTTATAAAATTGGCTAGTTCCTACAACAAAGCAACAGTCTAGAAATATCAAAATAATAATTATTTTAAATGAAGTCTTTTTTAAATCCAATAAATCGAGTGGGGATTTTATTGTTTTTAACTATGTTATATATAATACATGTACAAACATCGGTAATTTTTTAAATAAATAGCAATGAAATTGATTCGAATATTATGTTGTTTTAGAATCAACGAATTATATCCGGCTCGAAAGCAGCTATAGGGCAATTTCCTTGGCACGTTCTTATAAAATTACCTGCCAATAATGGTGTGTGGTCAGGTGGTTCTATTATTTCTGAAAATTGGGTTTTAGTAGCGGCACATTGTATTTCAAATCAAGCAGAACTTTTACTGATATTTGGTACTATAGATCGTGATCATTACGAGAACGGTATAAATATGACCTGTTCAAAATTTTTAATGCATCCTGAATATGACAAAGTGAATATAAATAATGATATTGGACTCATTGAACTACCGTCACCGTTAACATTTACCATAAACATACAAGCCATTGATTTAGTAACTGCAGCGGAGGCTTCAGCAGCAAATGATTTTGTGGGCGCAGAAACTATAATTTCTGGATTTGGTAAAGTAAACAACTTTATAGGCAGTGAATCTAACACTTTATTATGGGCTCAATTAGAAGTTATCAGTAATAGTCGTTGTCTAGAATTGTATAATAATCCAAAACTTATAGTGAACTCAACATTATGTGCGATTGGTTGGAATGATACCAATAAGTCGCCATGTCATGGTGATTCTGGTGGTCCGTTAATTTGGAAAAACAAATCTAATAAATTTGTGCAAATCGGCATTGATTCGTTTGTTGCTCAATCTATAGGTTGTGCAAGTAAATTTCCTGCGGGTTTTACAAGAGTCTCTTCGTTTTTAGGTTATATTCGAAATATTACTGGTTTAAATTTAGAATAATTTTTAAGGCCCAATTTTTCAATAATAAAAATTTTATAAGCAAATATTGTATACAAATTTATTGTTTCAGCTATATATTATAGAACTAATACATGTGCGACTATAAAAAAACTTTAGACCAGACGATAAATTAGACAATACTCTAGACTATAGTACAAATTATAGAATAGACTAGAATATAGACGAGACTGTAGACTCGACTATAAACTAGACTATATACTATACTACAGATTAGACTATAAACAAGACTATAGGCCAGACTATATACTAGACAATAGACTAGACTCTATAGACAAGACTATAGACTATACCATAGACTAGAATATAGACTAGACTATAAACTGGACCAAATACTATACAATAGAATAGATTATAGTCTAGACAATATACAAGAATGTAGTCTAGGCTCTATAGACTGGTCTATATACCAGACTATATTTTGTCTATAGATTGTAGACTAGAGTATAGACTAAACTATAGACTAAACTCTAGACTAGACTATAGACTAAACTCTAGACTGGACTATCGGCCGGAATATAGACTAGAATATACTAGACTATCGACTAGACTATAGACTGGACTATCGACCGGAATATAGACTAGAATATACTAGACTGTCGACTAGACTATCTACTAGACTATAGACTAGACTATAGACTAGACTATAGACTAGACTATAGACTAGACTATAGACTAGACTATAGACTAGACCATGAACTAGACTAGACTATAGACTAGACTATAGACTAGATTGTAGACTAGACTATAGACTAGACTATAGACTGGACTATCGACTAGACTATAGACTAGACTATAGATTAGACTATAGACTGGACTATATACTCTAGACCATATATACTATAGACTAGACTATTGACTATACTATAGAATAAACTCTAGAATGGACTATCGAATATAGACTAGAATATACTAGACTATCGACTAGACTATAGACTGGACTATCGACCGGAATATAGACTAGAATATTCTAGACTATCGACTAGACTATAGACTAGACTATCGACCGGAATATAGACTAGAATATACTAGACTATCGACTAGACTATAGACTGGACTATCGACCGGAATATAGACTAGAATATTCTAGACTATCGACTAGACTATAGACTAGACTATCGACCGGAATATAGACTAGAATATACTAGAATATCGACTAGACTATAGACTAGACTATAGACTAGACTATAGACTAGACTAGACTATAGACTAGACTTTAGACTAGACTTTAGACTAGACTATAGACTAGACTATAGACTAGACTATAGACTAGATTATAGACTAGACTATAGACTAGACTATAGACTAGACTATAGACTAGACTATAGACTAGACTATATACTAGACTATAGACTAGACTATAGACTAGACTATAGACTAGACTATAGACTAGACTATAGACTCCACTATAGACTAGACTATAGACTAAACAATATACTAGGCTATAGACTAGACTAGATTATAGGCTAGACTATAGACTAGACTATAGACTAGACTATAGACTAGACTATAGACTAGACTATAGACTAGACTATAGACTAGACTATAGACTGGACTATAGACTACACTATAGACTAGACTATAGACTCCACTATAGACTAGACTATAGACTAGACTATAGACTCCACTATAGACTAGACTATAGACTAGACTATAGACTCCACTATAGACTAGACTATAGACTAAACAATATACTAGGCTATAGACTAGACTAGATTATAGACTAGACTATAGACTAGACTATAGACTAGACTATAGACTAGACTATAGACTAGACTATAGACTAGACTATAGACTAGACTATAGACTAGACTATAGACTAGACTATAGACTAGACTATAGACTAGACTATAGACTAGACTATAGACTAGACTATAGACTAGACTATAGACAGACTATAGACTAGACTATAGACTAGACTATAGACTAGACTATAGACTAGACTATAGACTACACTATAGACTAGACTATAGACTAGACTAATAGACTAGACTATAGACTAGACTATAGACTAGACTAGACTATAGACTAGACTAGACTATAGACTAGACTAGACTAGACTAGACTAGATATGACTAGACTAGACTACTAGACTAGACTATAGACTATAGACTAGACTATAGACTAGACTAGACTAGACTATCGACAGACTAGCCTAGACTATAGACTAGACTAGGACTATAGATAGGACCTAGACTATAGACTAGGACTTTAGACTCGACTATAGACTAGGACTATAACATAGACTATAGACTAGGACTATAGACTATGACTATAGACTAGACTATAAGACTAACTATAGACTAGACTATAGGACTAGGACTATCGATAGATACAGATAGATATAACTAGGACTCTTCGACTAGAATATAGACTAGACGTATAGATCTAGACTTAAGGACTAGACTATAGACTAGGACTATAGGCCAGGACTATAGACTAGGACTATAGACTAGACTATGACGACAGACTATTAGACTAGATTATAGACAAGACTATAGGACTAGACTAGAACTATAGACTAGACTATCGACTCGACATATGACTAGACCATAGACTAGACTAGAGACTATAGACTAGACTACTAGACTAGACTAGACTACTAGACTAACTATAGACTAGACTATAGACTAGACTATAGACTCGACTATAGACTAGACTATAGACTAGACTATAGACTAGACTATAGACTAACTATAGACGTAAGCTATAGACTAATATAGAATAGACTATAGAATAGACTTAAGACTAGACTATAGACTAGACTATAGACTAGACTATAGACTACACTATAGACTAGACTAAGACTAACTATAGACTAGACTATAGACTAGACTATAGACTAGACTATAGACTAGACTATAGACAAGACTATAGACTAGACTATAGACAAGACTATAGACTAGACTATAGACTAGACTATAGCTAGACTTAGACTACTATAGACTAGACTATAGATAGACTATAGACTAGATATAGACTAGACTATAGACTAGAATTAGACTAGACTATAGACTAGACTATAGAATAGACTATAGACTAGACTATAGACTAACTATAGACTAGACTATAGACTAGACTATAGACTAGACTATAGACTAGACATAGACTAGACTATAGACTAGACTATAGACTAGACTATAGACTAGACTATAGACTAGACTATAGACTAGACTATAGACTAGACTATAGACTAGACTATAGACTAGACTATAGACTAGACTATAGACTAGACTATAGACTAGACTATAGACTAGACTATAGACTAGACTATAGACTAGACTATAGACTAGACTATAGACTAGACTATAGACTAGACTATAGACTAGACTATAGACTAGACTATAGACTAGACTATAGACTAGACTATAGACTAGACTATAGACTAGACTAGACTAGATAGACTAGACTAGACTATAGACTAGACTATAGACTAGACTATAGACTAGACTATAGACTAGACTATAGACTAGACTATAGACTAGACTATAGACTAGACTATAGACTAGACTATAGACTAGACTATAGACTAGACTATAGACTAGACTATAGACTAGACTATAGACTAGACTATAGACTAGACTATAGACTAGACTATAGACTAGACTATAGACTAGACTATAGACTAGACTATAGACTAGACTATAGACGACTATAGAACTAGACTATAGACTAGACTCTAAGACTAGACTATAGACGACTATAGACTAGACTATAGACTAGACTTAGACTAGACTATAGATAGACTATAGACTAGACTATAGGACTAGACTATAGACTAGACTATAGACTACTGACTATAGACTAGACTATAGACTAGACTATAGACTAGACTATAGACTAAACTAGACTAGACTATAGACTAGACTATAGACTATAGACTAGATTATAGACTATAGACTAGACTATAGACTATAGACTAGACTATAGACTAGACTATAGACTAGACTATAGACTAGACTATAGACTAGACTATAGACTAGACTATAGACTAGACTATAGACTAGACTATAGACTAGACTATAGACTAGACTATAGACTAGACTATAGACTAGACTATAGACTAAACTATAGACTAGACTATAGACTAGACTATAGACTAGACTAAGACTAGACTATGACTAACTAGACTATAGACTAGACTAGATAGACTAGACTATAGACTAGACTATAGACTAGACTATAGACTAGACTATAGACTAGACTATAGACTAGACTATAGACTAGACTATAGACTAGACTATAGACTAGACTATAGACTAGACTATAGACTAGACTATAGACTAGACTATAGACTAGACTATAGACTAGACTATAGACTAGACTATAGACTAGACTATAGACTAGACTATAGACTAGACTATAGACTAGACTATAGACTAGACTATAGACTAGACTATAGACTAGACATAGACTAGACTAGAGACTAGACTATAGACTAAACTATAGACTAGACTATAGACTAGACTATACTAGACTAGACTAGACTAGACTATAGACTAAACTATAGACTAGACTATAGACTAGACTATAGACTAGACTATAGACTAGACTATAGACTAGACTATAGACTAGACTATAGGCTAGACTATAGACTAGACTATAGACTAGACTATAGACTAGACTATAGACTAGACTATAGACTAGACTATAGACTAGACTAGACTATAGACTAGACTAGACTATAGACTAGACTAGACTATAGACTAGACTAGACTATAGACTAGACTATAGACTAGACTTAGACTAGACTATAGACGAGACTATAGACTAGACTATTAACTAGACTATAGACTAGACTGTAGACTAGACTATAGACTAGACTATTGACTGGACTATAGACTAGACTATAGACTAGACTATAGACTAGACTATAGACTAGACTATAGACTAGACTATAGACTAGACTATAGACTAGACTATAGACTAGACTATAGACTAGACTATAGACTAGACTATAGACTAGACTATAGACTAGACTA